TCTAAGGTAGTCAGTCTTGTCAAGGTGCAATTTCTTCGGCCAACATCCGGGAAACGTGGCAGGCGCAGCAAATTTACAAGGTATTATCAATGACTTGAAGGATTCAGCTTTTCTGACCCTCAACATCTCTCGGCAGTGGGGTTTACGACGGCGAAGACTCCCATTATTCCGCCTTGGCAGTCCACCCCAGTCCGAGCTAGACGTCTGACAGACGATGTCCATTGGATGTGTTGGATGTGAATAATCGCGAAATCTTGCAGGATGCGGAAAGCCACGCCGAATACAAGGGACGCAAGAGCACAACGTCTATGGCAATGGCAGATTCCGTATTACGCTGCCTGTCACTTCGCTGTTTTTGCTTTCATATGGGCTCCTCTGAAGCCTGACCATCAGTGACAAGCGGACTTTTGTTTTCTTCAAGAAGGAAGACAGGCCGAGTCTGATGCTCTCCACCACTCCCCTCACAAACATATTTCCTTGGCACTCTGGGGCGTGATGGGGAATCCCCAGACGCTTCGAGACCGCTTTCACAACATCCCTGCTGCTTGACCCCATATTCTGGCTCTGTTTGGTAAAAAAAGTTCGGTGGCCGGGGTAGGTGGGTGTAACGATGCAAGGCCTACCATTGGCATTATGTATTATTCAATGTTATTCGAATCCAAAGATGGGGTATATAAGATAAGGCTGCATCAGCGCAGCTGAATATGGCTATGTTCTTTTCCTCTCAGTAGTTGTTGTGTCGTCTTAGACACTCAATCCTCAGTTTATAAGAGGAGTTTCGTTCTCAACAGGAAGGGTTTTCTATTCCTCCAATACAAGTGAAGATGGCCATTTTCAAATCCGCAGAGAAGGCCCAGACGGGGGCGTCAGATCCCATCCTGACTCGTCTCGCCAACGAGGACAAGGTGCCATGGTACAAGAAGCCTAACCTGCGCTTCATGTACTTTCTTCTTTTTCCGACGTGCATGGGCATCGAGTTGACCTCGGGCTTCGACTCGCAGCTTATCAATGCTCTTCAGATCGTGCCTTCATGGATCTCTTGTGAGTTTCTTACTCAATTCCTTGTAGCTCAAAGAGACTGCCTGCCCATGCGCATATCTCGGTTGTTCATATGAATGTTGTCGCTGACGGAGAACAGATTTCGATAATCCCCAAGGCCCGATCAAGGGTATCATCGCCGCGTCGTATTCTCTTGGTGCCATTCTGTCTTTGCCTTTCATCGGTAAGGTGAATGACAAGTTCGGTCGACGTTGGTCCATCTTCGGCGGCTCAGTGATTATGGTGATTGGTGCCCTAATTCAGGGTCTTTCTGTTAATGGTAAGTGACTCACTCAAACTAGCGCACATCTCATCGATGGTGGGACACCTCGATGTGTTGATGTAGCTTTGGGATATGTAAACTCACAAAATGGTCACACAGTCGGCCAGTATATCGCTGCGCGCCTGATCTTGGGATTCGGTATACCGACGTGCATTGTCTCGGCCTCATCGCTTATCGGTGAACTGTCATATCCCAAAGAACGCCCCGTTCTCACATCGCTCTTCAATGTCTCGTATTTCGTTGGACAATTGTTGGCCGCCGGAATCACCTTCGGCACCAACAATATTATGAGCAATTATGCTTGGCGCATTCCTTCATGGTTGCAGATGGTGCCTTCGCTTGTTCAAATCGCCTTCATCTTCCTCATCCCGGAGTCTCCTAGATGGCTCATTACCAAGGACCGGAACGAGGAGGCCTTCGACATTCTCGTTAAGTACCACGCTGAAGGAGACCGCGAGTCCGACTTCGTCAAGGCGGAATTTGCCCAGCTGCACGCAACTATCAATCTCGAGCTGGAGTCTTCTGCGAAGTCTATGAAGGATCTCGTTCGTACGAGCGGTATGAGACGCCGTCTGCTGATTAGCACTATGTTGGGGCTGTTTACGCAGTGGTCCGGAAATACACGTAAGTCCATCAAAACAACATGTGTTGCTACGCTTCTATCACCCATCTACACAGAGTAGTTTCATGTCTTCGTACCCCAGCGAGTCTCATTCCTTCAGTGAGAGAGGCTGCGGTGATTTATGCCTGTTGAAACTAGGCAAACTAACCTTCGGCTTTTATCTTAGTTATCTCATACTACCTTGGCGACATTCTCCAGGCCATTGGAAAAACAGATTCCATCTTCAAGCAGAAGATCAACGTAGCTGTAAGCATTCATTTCCTTTCGTTCTCCTCACAAGAGAGCCTTCTCCTCGTGATACCTAGCTGACCCGAGCAATGCCAAAGCTCGCCGCGTGGGGTTTGGTGTCCGGAACGGTAGCATCGCTTCTTGTCAAGCAGTTCCGACGTCGGGTTATGTATCTAGCGTGCACCATTGCTCTGATCACCGTATACATCAGCTGGACGATCAGCATGAAATACGCTATCGACGCCAAGAACGCGGGCACCGTGAACTCAGCTGCGGGCGGCGCCGTTTTGTTCTTCATCTTCGCATATAGTCCCGCCTATAACTTGGGTTACAATGCGCTCACCTACAGTAAGCCCCCTCCGAGAAGCTTTCAATTCCTCTTATATCTGCTGAAAATAGTATCTCCCAACAGCCTATATGGTCGAGATCTGGCCGTACGCAGAGCGATCTCGTGGTCTCGCCTGGTTCCAGCTATGGGGGCGACTCGCGAGTTTCTTCACCACCTTCGTCAACCCCATCGGACTCATGAACTCTGGCTGGCGATATCTCATCTCATATGTCGTCTTCCTGGCCTACGAGATTGTGTTTGTATACTTCTTCTTCCCGGAGACATTCGGCCGAACTCTTGAAGAGCTTGCTTTCTGTAAGTTCCCACATCTCAATTCTGCAGCCAGCATAACGTGACTGACCGGTGTCTTCTCTAAAATAGTGTTCGAAGACAAAGCGCTCGCAGACGAAGCCGTCCACGCTGTTGAGAAAGCTGTGGGACATCAAGGTGAAGGCGAACACACCGAGACAATCGAGGAGCGGAAGGCACTTTGAGGAAATAGAGAAGACGGCAATGGGAGGGAGTTTTCGGCCTTCCCTTATTCAAAATGTAGCAAATGCAATATCGAGAACTCGCTATGTCTGTTTCAATGCCGTGCAGAATACCCATGTAGACTCGGATACTGGTTCCCTCTATCTATAATTGAAGACTCTGATCGTCAGTTGATCTTCTTTGGCGCTGACTGGACTTGGCCCAACCCCTTTCAGGAGCTGACAGCTGTTTCGCGATGTATGGCAGCTGGCTCGACCATGTACACATACCCATCTCGTAAGACTGGCTGCCAGATGATTCGAGTGAACGAGTGGTCCGGTTCGTCGTTATTCTTCGGCATACATTCCAGCAATGGCTCAACATCTAGTCTTCCACGGCACACTCATTCACTGCCTTAGCCTCGATCAGCTGGAGGTAATAGAGAATGGGTTGATCACTATCACACCGGATGGCCTCATTTCTGACCTCGCGAAGTCGATTTCAAAGGACTCAGTCCAGCAACACTTGGCCACATCGGGGCTTTCTGAGGGCCAATATGAAGCTCACTACCTTGAACGCGGGCAGTTCCTCATCCCAGGCTTCGTAGACACGCACAATCATGCGCCTCAATGGGCAATGCGCGGTCTCGGCCAGAGCATGCACATTTTAGACTGGCTAGATAAAGTCACATTCCCGAACGAGGCTCGCTTTCGCGATCCAGAATACGCACGGCGTATCTATGCCAGCTGTGTCGATGGTTTTCTCCAGCAAGGCATAACGACAGCATCTTACTATGGATCCATGCACGCCGAAGCCACCAAGATCTTGGCCGATCTCTGCCTCGAGAAAGGGCAACGCGCCTTTGTAGGAAAATGCAATATGAATCGGAACGCGCCCGATTACTATCGAGACGCAACAGCCGAATCCTCTTTAAGCGACACGATGGACTGCATTGCACATATGAGAAAGATAGATCCGGAGGGTAAGCTCGTGAAGCACGTGCTCACGCCTCGCTTCGCCATTACCTGCGAGGACGCCTTACTCGCGGGACTGGGGCAGATTGCTAAGTCGAACCCCGACCTCCCTATTCAGACGCACTTCAATGAAGCCGAGCAGGAGATGTCCTTTACGAAAACGTTGTTTCCGGGATTTGACAACGAGGCAGACCTTTACGACCACTTCGGCTTGCTCACTAAGCGCTCCATCTTAGCTCATTGCTGCTACATGTCGGAATACGAACTTGGGCGCTTCCAAGATCTCGAGTGTGGTGTTGCTCACTGCCCCATTTCAAATATGACTGTAGGCGGTGGCTTCATGACCGCCCCTGTGCGTGAATTCCTTCGGCGAGGCATCAAGGTAGGCTTAGGAACAGACAGCGGTGGTGGATTCTCGAGTAGCATATTAGACGCCATGCGGCAGGCTCTCGTCGCATCTAACGCTAAAGAGGCCATGAGCGACAGCAAAGACAAGGGACTATCGATTGACGAAGTATTCTATCTCTCAACACTCGGAGGGGCTCGGGTTTGTTGCTTAGACGGAAAAATTGGTAGCTTTGCTGCTGGGAAGGAGTTCGATGCGTTGTTGATTGATTCAAATAGCTCGAAACCGGGTATCATGACCATGGTTGAAGAACAGGACACTACAAAGACGGTCTTCGACAAGTTCATCATGACAGGTGATGACCGCAACATTAGGAAAGTCTTTGTACGTGGGCGGCAAGTCAAATTGTAGTTTTAGGGGAGTGTGGTCTTGGGTCAATACAGTCTTATCCACCAGGTGTACTTAATTAGGGCCTCTTTTCCAATTATGAGGGAGTGCTGACATCAAGCTTACTCAGGGGAACATGTCTCCCAACCGATAAAGAGAGGAGCTCGGCACTTGTTTACCTTGATCTGTGATCTCGTCTGTCCTAGAGACATGACCTAGCGATGAGCTGCTGTTCAGGTCAAAACCAATGAACTAGCCTATCGTTCTGCCTCCGAATGCGAATGGCTTTGGCAATAATATTGTCACCGATTCATATGAAGCCAGCCCGCTTGGCTAAGTGGTATAGCGTGTCACTAGTAGAACTTCTTGTTTCTTCAATGCCATGACAAGATCAGCGGTTCGATTCCGCTAGTGGGCATTTGCTTGTGTCTTTATCCATCCGAATTGGTGTAGGGGTTAACATTTGACGCTTTCATCTTCGTTTTCAAACGTAGAGAGTCCCGTCAGGCCCGGGGTTCGATTCCCCGATTCGGAGTCTTTGAGAGTCATCTCAAAACGCAAGGTTTCTTTTTTTAAGGACCTTATAAGATCGATAAAAATAATGAGTCAAGGGAGGCTGGGCGATGCAGTTAGGCATATTGGCAGGCAGAAACAGCCTGTTTACCATACTATTAAGGCCGCTGTATTCGAGATGCGCAGATGAATTGGAGGTGGCTGAATGGTTGATGGTTGAAGGTTGAAGGTAAAGGGTATGATACCGAATTGCATACCTCATTAAAAGCATATATGGTAATTGTTTGAATGTTAATAAGGTCACGTTCAACCGTTTCGGATTATCGATAAGACTTTTTTGGAGTTTTTTGTTCCGATATCTGGCCCGCCGACCCCTCCAACCCACCACCCCGCCATGACTCGAACCTACTATGACACACAACCAACAGATCCCGCATTATTCTACTCCATTATATTTCAGGTGATTGTGCCTACCCTAAGGTAACAAAAACTCGCTTTGAAAACCAGGGCTACAATCACCACTCCGGATTGCATTCGGGTTAACTCCTGAGATAATCATTGATGTTAGTTTGCGAGCCCCAAAGTTACATTCCACTACCCTGGGCATACTTCTTTTGCTCCATGGAATTTATGATGCGGCAACTTCTTTTTTTTAATACTTCACTTACTTGTTTATGCTAACTTAAGCTTTTTATAGAAGGCAAATAGAGGTGAAACGCTTAATAGCATTCTGTAGTCGTATGCGTGTCCATAAGCGTATAAGTCACTTCAAGGGCTTGAAGCTAACATTATTTCAAGGATTACTCTGTTCACCCATAATGGCGTCCACCGAGCCCACCGAGTCCTCCCAGCCCGCCCAGGCGGCGCCCGCGCCCGCTGAAGCGCAGAAGCTGCACAAGGACCCCGTCACTGGCGAGATGATCTCCAAGACGGAACTGAAGCGACGCGAAAAGCAACGCAAGGCGGCTGAAGAGAAGGCCAAGAAGGCAGAGAAGGCCCAAGCCAATGCCCCGGCCAAGGCTGCCGGAAAGCCCAAGGAAGAAGAATTGACTCCCAATGTATGTAGGATAAACCCTTCTGGTAAAGTAAATATTGACTGACGATCCTGCTAGCAATACTTCGAGATCCGCTCCAGACAGATCCAGAGTTTCCGCGCTTCCCAAGAACCCAACCCGTACGAACGAATACTTCCTGTGTTATCCTCGAGACACAGCTAACAATAGTCGTCTTAGCTATCCTCACAAGTTCCATGTCAACACTAAGCTCGCCTCATTTCACGAGAAATATGCCGACATCAAGTCCGGCGAGTCGAATAAGGATGTAGAGATCCGCATTGGTCTGCGCATTATGGCTCAGCGATCCTATGGCGCCTCTCTCCGATTCTATGACTGCAAGGCTGAGGGCATTAGTGTTCAGGTCATGTGTGAAGCCCACGAGGCTACTGGCGTTCCCTTCCTGCAGCAGCACGAACACCTGAGACGAGGAGATTGGATTGGTGTCGTGGGTTTCCCCGGCAGAACCAACCCAAAGACGAGAGACGTGGGCGAGCTGAGCATCTTTGCCCGTGAGATCACCTTACTCACTCCATGCTTGTAAGTCAAATACTGAGAAGAGAAACGCCGAAACCGATCATCAAAATAACTTACTTCCTTAGACACCAACTTCCCTCGGCACATTACGGCTTTAAGGATAAGGAACAGCGCTTCAGACAGCGATATCTAGATTTGGTCATGAACGACTCGACCCGCAATACTTTCATTAAGCGAGCCAAGATTATCAGCTATATCAGAGATTTCTTGAATAAGAGAGATTTCCTTGAGGTATACCGCCTCAACCCATAAGGTGGCATGATCACTAAGCTAACGCCGCCATAGGTTCAAACGCCAATGATGAACAAGATTGCTGGTAACGTCTCTAGCGAGAGAACTCGCTTATGAGAATGAGGCAGCGCATTCACTAACAAGGTACAGGTGGTGCCACTGCTCGCCCGTTCAAGACGTTCCATAACGATTTGAACATGGAACTATACATGCGAATAGCGCCTGAGCTCTACCTTAAGCAACTTGTTGTTGGTGGGTTGGAAAGAGTTTATGAGATTGGGCGACAGTTCCGTAACGAAGATATTGACTGTGAGTAACTTGCCCCTAGGACCGCTTTATAGCTCGCCGAGAAAGGAAAGCAAAATACCTGACCCTTCATAGTGACACACAACCCGGTGAGTAATACAAGAGCTGTTGTCTTCTAGCGTCAGCCACTTTTCAAGAGCATAAATTTTCTCTCCGGGAGCTTATAGTTCCGAATCCTCTCAAAATTTGGTCTGAATACGAGATTACTAACTCTTATTGCAAGGAATTCACCACAATGGAATTCTACTGTGCATTTTTTGACGTGAATGACGTTATGGACCTTACGGAAGAAATGGTCAGCAGCCTAGTCAAGTCCGTAACTGGCTCCTATATCACCAAGTACCATTCTCAAGACGGAACCGAGCATACCATCAACTGGGAGGCACCCTGGCCCCGAATTGATATGATTCCGGCTCTCGAAGAGGCCACGAACACCAAGTTTCCACCTGCCGACCAGTTCCACACAGAAGAGAGTCTAGAATTCTTTAAGTCTTTGCTCCAGAAGATCGGACTAGACTGCTCGCCCCCCCTGACAACCTCAAGAATGATTGACAAGATGGTTGGAGGTGAGCATTCCATGATCTACTTCTTCATTTTCAGGGTGTCTCTGGAACAAGATTTGCCTAATTAAGATCTGTTGCCCCGTTTACCATACTAGCCTCTAATTCCTGAGTAGAATTCATCGAGTCCAAGTGTATCAATCCCACTTTCATCAAGGGCCACCCCCAGGTGTAGGTTCACGTCGACAACGGAATCGTAGCTATGTTTCTGACAGTTTCTAGCATGTCACCTTTAGCTAAAGCCGATCGAGCGGTTCCAGGTCTGGTACGACATCCTGAATCTTTCACTTTTTTTGACAAAGATTTTACCCCATCTGCAATATGCTTCTGCATACTCCCAACACGCTTTCAAAAGAACCTTTTTTATACTACAAGCGGTAGTTTCTAACTCCTGGCTTATTATAGACTGAACGCTTCGAGACATTTGTATGCACTAAGGAGATTTGCAATGCTTACACCGAGTTAAACGACCCGTTCGACCAAAGACAGCGATTCCTCGAGCAAGCCAAGGACAAGGAGAAGGGAGATTTGGAGGCCCAGGCTGTTGATGAGTACGGGAGTCACACGTACGTTTTCGAACACATTAACTAACCTTATGTTCTAGGACATTTTGCCAGGCACTTGAATACGGCCTACCGCCTACAGGAGGTTTCGGAATGGGTATTGACCGAGTGGCTATGTTCCTGACGGACAACTATAGGTTTGTAAACACCACCGATAGCTCCTGAATGTGAACTAACAACTGTACAGTATTAAGGAGGTCCTCACCTTCCCCATGATGAAGGACGTGCCCAGCGCCCCCGGCAATGAGATCATTACACTACCCATTCATCCTGAACAGTCTCTGTAGAGGAACGAAAAGAGGGATAAAACTGGTTATTGATTTGTTGTAAGAAATAGAAAATGCCACGTCTTGTTACATCGGCTTGCATGCCGCTTGTAATATTTTGCCTAGAGAGAAATGAAACACCCGATGACCTAGCTTAATCGTGGGGGCATTTATACGTGCATGCGCATACTCTTCGCCACATCCTCTGTTATCGAGTAATGCGATTATCCCAATTATCATGCGGTGATCGACCATTTCCCCCAACATTATGGCTACCTAGGTAGATTAAGAGGGACCGTGGGCTCATACTCCCTATGCTAAGCAGCCACTCCTTTTTCGAAACTTCACTTGCATCCAGCGTCGTATCAAAGATCACCGGCGACAAGGAACATGTTGGTCAAACGGAAAAGAGGGCCACTCTGAGTTCGCCTTCACTGAAGACATAAGGGGTGCGACTGAATTTTCGTTTTTAATCAAACAAGTGTCACAAAAGGTCGAGTTCGAGTCATTCTGACCAACTGCCCAACGGTTCGCCCATTCCGACGTTTAGGTGGCGTTTCGACGGTACGTCAATCTCGAGTACGGTAGCAGCTGTACTGTTATTTACCTAGAATGCTGACCGTTGAGCAGGGCTGTTTGAGGGGAACACCAGTTTTCCTATTCTGTGAATTGCTCGTGTGAAGACGTACCATGAACCTCAGAAGACTTCCAACTGACACGCTCTGATCAGCTATATGGCTAACACAGTTGACAACATGGCGCCCCTCGTGAGCGCTATCAACAATCCCCAGGGATTTCCTCGGTCCGTTAATCTAGTTCAGAACTCATACGGGGTGCGCCAACATACATCCGTGACCACTTCCAGCACGAACAGTTTCCTAGCTCGGGGACTACGTGTCAGCCCGATTGTTTCCCATTCGAGGGGATTAGTCCGAAAGACGAAGATGAAGATAAATTAGCTCGATGAGCTGCCGGGGGCGAATTGGGGCTTCGCGCGAGGTTGAACATATGATTTATCAATGCACGGCAAGCGAGCGTTGAATAGATACCGCTTACCACCGCATATCATAGAAGAGCTAAACTATAGAATACCCCATCTTTAGTTACTAACTACAAATATCTCATGATACACCATTTTATGATGTGGGTTATTCACTGCTCAATGATATCATTCTTGTAGTAAATGCACATATTAAGTTCCAGTGTTTATTGAGCATTGTTTCAAACAAAGTATAGGCCAGAGACAGGCTATTACCCTTCAATGAATGTGTACAAATCGCTGATTTTCTATCCTGCTTTCAACCGCTTCGCCGTTCTCAATTCCAGGCACGAACACGTCCCCTCTGAACAGGTAGTGATACAAAGCGTCACGGTCTTGTGTCTTACGATCTTCTCTGTCCGCATGTAACGGACTAAGCAAAAACGGCGATCTGCCTCCTGACAAGATCCAGACCTCATCTCCGACCGACGTCGTGGATGGACCCAAGCCCACTTCCCCATTCTCTGT